CTTCCACCCGCAGGAGCTGGGCCAGGTGGGTACATGGAGGACAGGGCCATGGCAAGAGGCACATGAGCTGGGTGATGGCCCCTGGCTGACCTGAGCTTGCTGGGTGCATCGCTGGGGAGAGATGTCTAATCAGATTACCCAAACAGCCGGCTTGTCCTTTCCCAGGAGGCACTGACTACACAGAAATCATTGCTTAAGGAATTCTTCACATGTGGACCTGGAGCAATCTGTGCCTTGACTTCACTTTATTTCCAAGAGAGGTATATGTCTTGGGTGGAAAGAAAACCACCTCCTTTTTCTCCTCCATCTCTAATCAAATTCAAATTCTACCAGTCCAGGGGCTGCATGAAGAGAACGGCAGATGTTTGGATGCTTTCGTAGATGTGGTTTTAAGATGGCCACATCTTTTGTTTTTCCAGACCTGAAATACTTGAATACACTCTATGGCCCTACCTCATGGGAGTTACGAGCCTGGGAAACTAAAGGAAAAAACTTACAGTGACTTTCCCAAGACAGTAAATCACATCAGCAGCAAAAGTGGGGAACAGACCCTAAGACTGCTGCCTTTTGCAAAGTCATTTGGATTCTTCTAATGAATTACAGGCTGTGCAAATTACAGATCCCTTACCAAAAATCAGAATTCTTTGATCCTGTTGAAAGGCTGACTTGAAATAAAAGTTGGTGGAGGGAGAACCATCCTCCCCTGCACAAAAGCACCCTGGGAATGGGAATGAAGTGCTTCTCTGCTGCCTTCTAACAGCTGGTTTTTGTGTGCTCTGCCAGCACCATGACACGTTGCTCCCACGAGCAGGCCCCCTTCCAGCTCCTTCACGGAGAACCACACATCTTTGAAGAAGTGCTTGGCCTCAAGTTTCGCATCTCTCCAGATGCCTTTTTCCAAGTGAACACGGCTGGAGCAGAAGCTCTGTACCGGGCAGTCGGGGAGCTGGGCCAGGCTGGTGGGGACACCGTCCTCCTGGACATCTGCTGTGGAACGGGTGAGCAGTGGCTGTGTGAGCCTGGCTCCCAGGGCTGGTGCTTTGCACGCCAAATACGATCCCTACTATCTAAAGGCTTGTTTCTTCAGCATGGATGTATGGAGCGCTTTTGTGTCCCTTGTTTCTAGGCGCAATAGGTCTCTCTCTGGCTCGCCAAGTGTCCAAGATTATTGGTATTGAGGTGGTGGAGAAGGCAATAGAGGATGCCAAGTGGAATGCAGCATTCAATGGTGAGTTCAAGCTTGCAGAGAGTTTCAAGCTAAAACTGGAAGCAGAACTGAGCAGAGGGGTGCTAACAAGTCACCTACACGCAGCAAAGGGCGGTACTTCATGTTATACCTAATGTCTGGTGAGACTTGACTCTGCTCAGTTCGTGTGGTCGCTTTCTGCTTCACAGGAATTTCAAACTGTGAGTTTCACAGTGCAAAGGCAGAGGCCATGTTACCACAACTCCTGTCATCGTGGGAGGATGCCCGACCCGTTGTTGCTGTGGTGAACCCATCCCGGGCTGGGCTCCGTAAGAGAATATGCTATTTATTTTCACCTTGAAAAGAGAGACTTTTGAACAAGCTCTGTGAGACCTGTTACACTGCTCCAACCCCCCTGCTTACTCTAGTTTCTTACCTTGTTGCTGACAGCAGCTAAAGTCCCATAGTCTGCTGTTTCCAGTGCCTTTCTCATGGTTTCTCTTTAAAGCAGACAGCTCTCATATTTTCCCCGTCTTTCATAGCTTCTCAGAATCATTTAGGAGAGAAGGAGCCTCTGAAGGTGCAGTCTCCCAACTAAAGCAAGGCCAATTTCAGAGTTGTGTAACGTTGCGCAGGGCTATATGGTGCAGTTGAAGTTTGAATGTGTCCAAGCGTGGATACTCTCCTGAATTTTTTTTTTCTTTAATGTTCCCTAAATTTCCGCTTGCTGCAGTGCATCTCATCCTCTTCTCATCTTCTTCTGAGAAGATTCTGGCTCTATCTTCTCTGTAATCCCCCATGAAGCCCCTGAAGATAGCAAATGGATCCCTGCTCACCTTCTGTTCCCCAGGCTGAATAACCCCAGCCCTCACACACTCCTGTGCATGCCATGCCCTCTGATCATCTTAGTAGTCTCTGCTGGACTTGCTCCAGTGTGCACTGGGAAGTCCTCGTGCAGTCTCACAAGTGTGTTTGAAAGGTTCTACTTATCCATGCTGCTTAATTGACAGTATTTCTCTCATCCTTCATCCCCCTGGGAAGCAGAGGGATTTTTCCCATGTTCCGCCCTGCCACATTGGCTGAGCTGTTAGCAGCGTGGGTCACATCCCTGGTCTCCTAAGAGCTTGCATCTGAGACAGGACATGGCAAAATGTGTGTATGATTTTTTTTCCCTCTATTTGTGACAGTTCAGTGCAGTTGTGTGATGCTTGCTGTGCAGTCACTGCTTCTGGAGAGCTCACAGTGGTGGTGGGTCACTGGGAAAGCACAGTATCTGTTTTACAGATTACAGGGTTGTGCAAGCCATCCGAAACTGCGAGTCCATCCGAAGGCTGCTCTACATCTCCTGCAAGCCAGAGGGTGAAGCCATGAGGAACTTTACTGAGTGAGTACCCTCCTCTCTTCCTTTTCTTCCACTGACTTAGTGACAGACCCTGTTATATCCGGACAAGGACATACCTGAGCTTGGTTTAGGAAGGTTTTTGTTGGAACTGAGTTTCACTGTCACTGGGTGCGTTCTGCAGATGTGATCCAGGACTGGTCAGTGCATGGTCAGAAGTGGTTTATGCTTCTGTGTTACTTTGGGTTTACCTCTGAGCTGGTTTAAGGTAGTGGGTATTCTTTGGGGTTTATGTTCCAGCAGGATGCTTTAGTGCATCAGTAAGGAGTAGAAAATAACACACACATGCTATAATGGCATTGTGTATCCTTCCCTAACACAATAGCACATCTGGGTGAGGGATACAGAGTCCCCTGGGTTCACTGCAAGGAGGCTGGCCCATAGCTAATGAAGTACAGCCAAGGGGATTTAGTCACCTGCTTAGTGTTAATCATATAGCCAAGTCTTTATCTGGGGCAGGCCCATTTGTAGGTGTTAAATCTGTCTGCAGGTAACCAATGAAGGCAGTGCAAAACTGAGGATTATTTCCTAAGGTATTAAGTGTTATTTCAGCTGGGATGGCTTGTGAGAAAGGGAGTTTTAAACCTGCCACTGACTCTTCAGCTTGTCCATGAGGTTTTCAGGGCTGGTTTGGGATTCAGTATTGATGGTTCCAGACCTCAGCTGGTGTCAGCTGCAGACTCTGAGGGATGTTAGCCAAACACATGACACCCCCTTAGTACATCCTCTGTGCTACTGTACACACGATGTCCCATACGATATACATCCCACCATGATAATGGTGGGCAGGCTTCTGCTACTGGTCTAAAGGGTGCTCTCTTTGCTTTCCACAGGTTGTGCTGCCCACCTGACCCAGGGAAGAAACTGACAGGAGACCCATTTGCCCCCACGTTGGCTATACCTTTTGATATGTTTCCTCATACTGTTCATTGTGAGCTGGTGCTGCTGTTTACCCGCTGACAAGGACATAGGTATGCCAGCTCTGAGAGCTTGGGAAGCAACCTCCTGCAGTCCTGAAGACTGGAGTCTATGTAGTTATGGATTTTTAACTTATTTTCTTGATACTTGTATTAAAAAATTAAATACTTTTGCTTTTGCTTTTACTTTGGGTTGCCTAACATTGTTCTGTAAGGAAACACTCAGATTTCTGGGGTGAAAAGTTTCTCTGTAGCATTTCATCACCCTTCTCTCCCCTGCAAACCTCTTTGTGGGATGCTGGATAAAGCAGCCTGGAGAAAACCCTCTCCCTGTTCTTACCTGATATGGCTGAATCAAGGCTGATAAATTTCCAAGGAAACAGGGAGAACTGTCTCTATGTTTCAGACTTTAACTCCAGTCCTAAGCAACCCTGAGCTGGGAATAATAACAACAACCACCAGTTCTTAAGCCATGGGAGCTTAAAATATATGGGTTTAGGACCTGAGACTACACTAGAAAGGGGAGGTGATGGGGAGATTCCTGCCAGGCATAGGAAATGTCACTCTTGTATTATCCCATGAGAATTTTGCTCACTGTTACAGGCTTTTGTTTTCAGTTAATAGCAAGGGATAAAGTTTTCCAGAGGTTCTGTTTCATGTAATTACACCTTGGCTTCTCGCTGTGAGACCTGAATGGATTTCTGCCTAGCCTGGATATGCTTTTGTTGAAAGGAAATTTGTTGCAAATTAGAGGGGGGAAAGTAACAGAGTATCAGGAAACCTTTCCACTACTCTCTGGAGAGCTGAACATACCGGACAGTTTTTATCTGCAATGGGGAAGGGTGGCACGGTGGCCTCACTCTTTTGGGCATCAGGTTTCAGGACAGCCATAGGGACAAAACATCTTTTTTTGCTTATTTAGGGGCAATACACAGCAAATAATCCCATATTGCTTAATATATTGGTGCCTGAGCACCTGAAACTGGAAGCTGCCTATGCAAAAGAGACCTCCGACCACTCTTCACAGCAGGTTGCTCCCATGCCCTCTGCTAACACATCCTTGTTTTCCCACTAGTGAGCAACTGCACTGTGCATTCTGCATCCCTGGAACTGGCTCGGTTTCCTCTTTCTGTCTGTAATTTATGGAACGTGCAAGGAAACAGAGGATGACTTAATGGTAGGAGCGGTGGGAATGCTCGTCGCTCGGCAGGTGCTAGAGCTGCCTGGCTCTTGCCTGCGTGGCTGCGGGGCATTAGGACCCGGAGGTTGCTGAGCGGAGGAGGCTGAATCCATCCCCTCCCACTGTCATCCTGCTGCCTCTGCAGCTTTATTCCTCATCTCCTTCAATGGTGGCTGACAGCCTCCCGCTCGGGCGGGCAGACACAGCGAGAAGGCCTCGCTAGGACTGGTTCCCAGCGCCTCCATGGCATCCCCCAGGACTATCACCATAGTCGCCCTCTCGGTGGCCCTGGGGCTCTTCTTCGTCTTTATGGGGACCATCAAACTGACCCCCCGGCTCAGCAGAGATGCCTACAATGAGATGGTGAGTACGGCAGTGGCAGCATGGAGGGAGAAACATTAGGGCTGTCTTCCCCTCAACCCTGTGGCAGAAGCAGCGTTTGGAGTGGGATATATGGAGGGCGACTGCTCTGGGACCCTGAGCGATGGGTGGGAGGGGGAAGAAGCTTATCTGTCTCTGTGTTTGACGGACACAGAGAGAAACAAGTAATACGCGCTGCCATGGATATCCTGGCAGCCCTCGCTGGGCTCCGTCTGAGCGTATCCATGGAGAAGAGGGGAGTGAAGGAGGCCAGGGTAGCACAGCACACCAATAGCCTGCAAAATATGGGGACCCAAGGGTCTCTGAAAAGCAAGGTCTGAAGAAGTGCCAGATGTAGCAGGCAGGTATAGCTGATCCCTGGGGGAACACCTACCTCTGGACTGGGGGTAGGAAAAGCAGATACCTGCTTTGGCAGCAGGATCATCATCCCCAAAATTCCGTGCTTTAAAGCAAGGATAATGACACTGACTGTCCCTACCTCACCAGACTGAGCAGGGATTAATCCATGACTGTGAAATGCTTTGAGATTCTTAGTTGGCAGACGAAGAAATTATTAACAGTCACTTTATCATTAGCCTGGGAAATAAGCTTCTCCTCCTTTTGCCTAAAGGAAAGAGGTGAGGAAAGGATGGAGAAGTCACTGTGTGCATTTCCCAGCTGGTGAGCTAGTGCTGCTCATCCCTGCCCAGGGCCAACCCTGCTGCAGAGCTTTGCTGGCTGCAAGCTGCAGGCAGGCAGCTGCCACATCTTGCTGCCTTGTCCCTGTTTGTTTATTCTCCTGCTGGCCCCTGTCACATTTATTGCAGCGTCTGAAAAGCACTGGTATAATTTTTGTGCCCCTAAAAATACAGTGCTGGAAGTTTCCAGCACATTCTGTTCTCTCCCTTTGCTCCACCTGCCCAGCTGCTTTTCCTTAGCTCTCAAGTAACATCTGAATCGCAGTGCCTCATCTGCAGCCCAGCACAGGGATCTCACAGGGAGGAATCACTAAGATGAAACTCGGGAGCAATAGACAGAGATGAAGTGCCCAGGAAACAAAGCTATTAAGCTTCTGCCACGTAAGTGACAGGAAACAGCAGTGAGACCTGGCATTGCAAAATCCTTGCTCTGTAAAATATTTCATTTCTCTGACCCTTTCTGCTTTACCAAGAGTCAGGCCTACAGTTAGGAATGATCTCCATTTCCAGAAAGAATGCAGAGGCACTCGCATATTACACAGCACCATCGTTCTTATGTCATTCTTAATAGCCCATATTGTAACATGTTATGGCTCATTAGGCTTTCATGCTTTTGCTGTGCTGCATACCAGGGTGGTCTGTCATGTACTGGAGACAGGAAAACCTGATCTTGCCCATCAATAAGCATGGCTTCTTGCCCCAGGCAAATAAGAGAACCTCTGTTATCTACCTGCAACACCAAACCGAAGTTTTTCATTTAGTAAAAACCAGACACACTGGTTTGTCTATTAAAATACTTGAAATTCCAGAGTACTCTAGGACATGCTGATAGTACATTTCTCTAAAAAGCTGTATCTTTCACAGCTGTACTCTGCTCTGAGGATTTTATTCACTGATGGTTTAAAATCCATCCTTATAACAAATACACTTGGAGTAACTGTGTTGTGAGATCTTCAGTTATTTGGTAGCAAAAATGACAATGCTGTGGATTTTTGAAGTGCCAGCTCCTCTTAGGAGAAAGCAGCAAATTTACAGAGATGTGGGGAAGTTCTGTGTGCCTGTAGTGGAGGTTTCCAAAATCACACCGAAGTAGATCTACAATGTGATCAGTGCCTGTGGGAGCTGAATGGCTCTGTACCTGAGATTCGGCTTCCCTTTCCCTCTCCGTGATTAGAAAGCAGAGAACACAGTGGCAAGAATATCTGCAGGGACTGTAGACTCCAGTGTAAGTGGAAATAATTTCAGTGTCTCAATAACTAGGAGCTTTATTAAAATACATAAAAAAAGGAAATACTTGATTGAAAAAGAAAACAAACAAAACCAATAAGCCCACAAGCACCTAATGTTCAAATGCAAGAACTTGAACGTGTCTAAGGACAGAGGTTGTTTTTTCTCTAGGAAAAAGGAGGCAGCTATGTAAGGAGGCTTAGTGTTTCAACTTACACTGCTTCTAAATCCAGCATAAACCAGGAAGCAAAGGATATCACAGGTCAGCTTGCTTTGATCTGAGGAAAGAAAGGATCACAAAGGTATGTAAGCACAAGAGAGGGTTGGAGAATCTCAGTTTTGATGTATAGTCCCATGCTAAGATTGTACTGCCCCTAAACACTAGGATATTGTAAGTTGCTGTGAGGTAGAAAGAGATTTCCCTTTTTACTTGATGTGCCTTGGCTTTGCAGGGACTAGGTGTGTTATTTAATTAGGGACTACCTACTCCTGGAGAGAGGTACTTTCTTTTAACACTATGGTTCTGCATTGCTAATTCTAGCAGTTGTACACCTGGCCTGGTCCTAGCTCCAAGGATGGGTGCTAGGTTGCAGTACTGTTTTTCAGCAAGGAGGCAACACCTTATAAAGGGGAATTGCAGGTTGGTGGTATTAATATCCCTCCAACAAAAGCTTTAGGGATACAGATTGGGTATTGTGCTAGAGGGTGATGTTTGAAGTGATCTTTAAGTCATGCTGTACCCCAATCTATTTCAGTGGAATTTGCCTTTGCCTTTACTTTCTCACATTGTGGTGTTCTACGCTATCACTTCTTCATTTCAGAAACGAGCATACAAAAGCTACGTGCGGGCTCTCCCCATGCTGAAGAAGATGGGAGTCAGCTCCATCCTCCTCCGCAAGAGCATCGGTGCCCTAGAAGTGGCGTGCGGCATTGTCATGACACTGGTGCCCGGTCGCCCCAAAGACGTGGCCAACTTTCTGCTCCTTCTCCTTGTGCTGGCCGTGCTCTTTTTCCACCAGCTAGTGGGGGATCCACTCAAGCGTTATGCCCATGCTCTAGTCTTTGGGATCCTGCTTACCTGTCGCCTGCTGATTGCCCGCCAGCCGGAGGAGCAGCCGCCAGAGAAGAGGATCCTGTCAGTGAATGGAGATGAACAGCCACTCATCAATGAAGCAGCTCCTGAGAAAGGCAAAATGAAGGTATCCTAGTTGAGTGCATGTCAGAAATACGGACCCTCGAGGCAGCTCTCTCCAGAAAACCACCCAGAAAAAATTGTTTTTTATTTACCTATTTATATTTTTTGTCTGTCTAAATAAAGTTGCACTTGGGGTCTGAGAGACACACGGTATGTCTACACTGTAGTCTTGCTTTTGCTGCTGCCCTATAATGTAGACAAACACAAGCTAGCTTTCACTGGGATAGCTTGGAGGCAGTGAACAGCCTGGCTGGAGTATGCTGGCCTCAGCAGAAGCCACAAAACCAGCCTGAGAGCACAGACAAAGAATCAAACAGGTAATCACGCTTAGCCTGGCACTGCTGCAGTGGGGGGAACAGACCCTGAGCATCGGCTGAAACCTGGCCTGGAAGCACTTCTGCTACATGGCAGGCTCAGCAACAGCAGCTGGGTAGAACATAATCAGGGTGACCCTGTGCTGGCTTGTGTAGCCCCATCCACGAATCTATGTTCTGTTTTCCATAGTCAAGGGGAGAAAGGACCGTACCAAGCATAAAAGTGCTGCTGTTGTGTTTGAGAGAGGGATCCCTTGGCCACTGCTGCCTCTGTGCCCAGTCCTTTCTTTGGACATCTAGGGGAACCATAGGATGAACTATTCACATCTTTCTCAATTTGTACACTTTGCACAAGTTCTAAAACTGGGACAATGGCCTGATAAAAGTCATTTTTTGCCTGCTTCACACAAGGCAATGACATGTCTTTACCCTTCTTGGCAGAAAGTAAGGATCCCTAGTGAGGGGACGGGGAGCAGAACTGCTGAAAGACCTCAAAAGATCTGTCTGCTGTTGGCAAATAGCATCATGCTTCCTATTTCCTTGCAAGAAAAGGATTCCTTTTTCGACAGCTACTGCAACTTTATAGAATTGTTGGTTACTGCTGGTAGATGAGGGTCTGAACATGTCCAGGTACTTTGCTGTTTATCCCACATAGCTTTGGTGGGCTGGGGGAAGTCCTATCACCAGAGCCTGAATCCCTGTGTATTGTATCTGAAACCTTAGAGAGTGTCATTAAGCATGTGTTACCTCTGAGATTGTTTTTCTTGATGTTTGTCTGTTTTCAGTTTTTCCTTATTTTCTTAAATACTCACAAAAATAAACTTTTTGAAATTTGGAGAAAAATGTCTCGACAAAAAAAAAAAAAATCTATTTTTTTAGAGAGACACATTTGAAAGTCTTTTTCCTGTGCTCAAACGCTGCACCTGAAATGGGCAGAATCATGCCAGGGCGATTTCAGGGAAAGACAAGGTGATGCAGGATCAAAGCCATCTGAACGTTACTGGGCTTTACATTCATAACCACAGGCATTTAAAACAAACACTCGATCATGAAAGAGTCTCAGATAAATTTCAGTACAATGTGTTAGCAAGAAAAGATATTAAAACTCCAGTAAACTGGCAGTATTATGTCTTTGTAAGAATTAATGATGTTCATATGCAGTATATCCAGTTTTCTTAAGTTTGCTGCTGAAACAGATGTAAACCCAAATATATATCTTATATATATATATATGCTAAAAATCTTCCTCCTAGAGCCCCTAAGAGTGACTAATTCTCTCTTACCAGATGTGCACCCTGCACAAAGGAAACTACAAACAGGCCACCTTTCCTAGACAATCTCTCATCTCTACAGACTACCTCAAGGTCATCTCAAATGCGTATAGAATTTGCTTTACTTCCCAAAAGGCATTTCATCTACCATGCCTTGACTGGAGTTATTAATCACTTTTTAATTCAAAACCAAGTATCACCCACTCAACCCCCACCATGACGTATACTCCTACACAAAGTACTCAACTTTTGAGTTGAATTGAGGTGAATTGCTACAGCCTTTTGGCCAGCTGCCCCTGACATGTGCATCTAACTCTGTAACAAGTGTTTGTGCCTGCCTTTTGTAATGTTCTTCAATGAAACCTGTAGAGATGCCATAATAATAAATATAAAAATATTCCACATGGCAAAACTTACCCCTCCAAAACCTGCAGACTGTAAGTGACTTTTGAAAAACTTCCTCCTTTTCACATTTGCAGCAGTATAAATTACTGACCCGCAGTAGCGGCCACATAATCTTTATTACAGAAGAATACAAGACTCCTTTGAGTACAGCAACAAGAAGTCGGTGTTTATCTATATTGGGTTGACCTCCATCATTGTCCCCCAGCACCAGCGAACTATTTTTGGAAGCATCTTTGCTTGCTAGAGGTGATAATGCAACAAGAACTGATTTGGTCCCTTTGTAAGACGATGCTCATTTACTCTTAACGTCTTTTTAATGTCGTCTTCTGCGCTTTTCTTTCTTCATCTCCAAGCCCATCATATAGTAGGAGACGTCCCTGCTCATCGCAGGTCTGGACGGCCTTTGTGGGTCCCTTCCAGTCCAAATTCTGCGATTCTACG